ATGTTATTTTATTAATTTTCAGAGCAACGTACTTATAAACTCAGTATCGTTATTATTCCTATCATAGAGATGAGAAAACTGAGACGTGGAGAGATTAACTAAGTTCCCCAAAGTTACACAGCTAGTACCTAGCATGCATTTCCACCCATTTCTCTCTGTCTCTTTTTTTTTTAAGATCTTACATTTTTTAAGTGATCTCTACACCCAATATGAGGCTAGAACTTACAACTCCGAGATCAAGAGCTGCATGCTCCACTGACTTGAGCCAGCCAGGCACCCCTGTGCCCATTTCTTTCCTCTACCCAAGGCTATGCTTTTAACTATTATGATTGTACTGGTTAAGGCAGTGATTCCCAAACTTGAACACTCATTAGAATTACCTTCTCAAAACACACATTGCTAGGGGCTCCTGGGTGGCTCAGTTGGTTAAGTGTCTGCCTTCAGCTCAGGTCCTGATCCCAACGTCCTGGAATTGAGCCCACACTGGGCTCCCTGCTCAGTGGGGAGTTGGCTTCTCCCTCTCCTGCTCTCCCTGCTCATTCTCTCTCTCTCTTTCAAATAAATAAATAAAATCTTTAAATACACACACACACACACACACACAGATTGCTGGACGACACCCCTTGAGGTTTTGATTTTGGAGGTGGGTGCAGCCTGAGAATTTGTCCCATTTCTAACCAGTTCCAACAACCTGCCACAATAACATGCTACTATCAGCGTTTTCATTTGCAAAGCAATCATCAGATATAAATTAGTTAACTTATACTAAATCATTAGCATTCAAATACAGCATATTAAAACATGTAACATAAAATTTTATTGAAAGATAATTTATTTACTGGCCCTATAATCTCTAAAACAGAATCTACTTCTAATTCCTTCCACGTACTTCAAGCAAGGTTGAATGTCTTCCTGGTATAAACTCTACCCAACAAGCCTTCACACTAGCACTATGTATCATGCATTATGTAGAGAGATGTATGTATATATACATATATACTTATATATATATTGAATTCAGTGAAGCCTCAGTTTGTCCTAACTTGACTGTAGACTTATCTTAATTTAAAATAATAGTCTAGTTAGCAAAAGGTGTTCTCTCTCTCTCTACTATCACTCCAGTTTTTCCACATCAGTCCTATTCAGACACCTTTTCACAACTGTTCTCTGACTTCCCTGTGACATATCTGATTGCCAACCTTTACCTTTCACAAATGGCCACATAACATTTGCACTACACTCTACAAGCATATTCACCATAATCTAATTTTTTTTTTTACCTCAACAAAAAATCCTATAACCGCTTTCAGGCTGTTGTGGGTCATTTCTTTGGTTTAAACTCTGTTTTCTGTTGCAGGGATGCATATGCTTAGAAGACTCAGTTTGATTACTGACTCAGATAGTGACTCAGTGACACACAGGTCATGGGAGGCAGAGGGCGGCATTAGCTCGTTTCATAAACCACTAAAAATCAGCACAATTAGTGTTATACCCTTGAACTGGAGTCCAAGTCCAGTTGAGAGCTGGGACATAGAGCCGGTAAAAACAGCCCGGCGCTGCTCTGGCGTGACCCTCCGTGAGGCTGTGTCTACAGCCCCAAATCCCCGTCTTTATTTGTCAATGTGTTGCACTTGAAAATAACAATAAATCAACAGAAAAACAAAGACCACAAGCCCCTGCTGGAACAAAATGCTGCAAGTACAGTAGTAAAAAGTCCTGCCAGCCCCGGATGAGATGTGACTTTCTGAGGAAAGCGGAAAATTTTTACTTGATGGTGAATCGTTAAAAGTGAGCCAGATGATTAAACTTAATGGAACAGCCACATTAAACTGAAATTAGTAAAAACATGCCTCGGGCAGCCTACAACCTTTTATTTGTTGTTGTTTTACTTCTGCCTTTTACAGTGGCCATGATGAATGACATCACAAAAGAAAAAATCCAATTAAAATCTAAGTGCTCAATAAACCCCTAATGTCTGGTTGCCACCGCCACTTTCTCTAGCACTGATATCTTATGTTTCCTCTTTTCCCCAAGAAGAGAGAAAAGAACTGGCCCCAGGGGAGTTCAGCGGAAGGAGAAAGAACACACCAAGGCTTCTGGAGGTTTACTGCTCTCTGCACTCTCTCAGAAACAGGCACTGCACTTTGAGGGGGATGAGGTTAAATTGTTTTATTATCAGACAACGCCTACGTAAAGAGATGCATTTTCCCACTAGTTTTCAAATATTGATAAATCAGAGTTGGGATCTGGAGAGCAATCCTGTTCACCCTCTTAGTCGGTGTCTCCACTGCCCTTTCATACCGTCTCAGGTGTTTGTTCTATAAGTCACCGAAATGGTCTCTCTTGACAGCTAAAAATAAGTTTCTGATTACTTTTACTTGAATAAATCTTGTGACCAGATGTGGTATTCACCTACTAAGTGTGCAACAATTACCTATTGAGAGTGATGAAAGAACCAGCAAGGGAAGTCTACAATCTAGTGGAAGGCAGAGTATCATACATCACACGGAAAGACAGCCACTGCCACCCAGTAGAAGAACACTAGCTTTTGATGACAGATTTTGCCTTGGAGATGCCATGTGTTTGTAAAATTGGGTTTTCAAAGTCCTTACAACAAAGTTCTCAAAGTCAAAATAAGAGTCAAAACATGCTTATTATGAGTGAGGAGCTAACAGGAATGGTATCTTAAAATGTGCTTTTACGGCATGTTTACAGAGGAGTTAAAAGAGAACATGTACAGTCTCTAATTAGATCTTCCTGATAGCCTTGTCCTGTGGTTCTATTATCCTCATTTCATTGATAAGGATCTTGGCTCAGGGAGGTTAACTGACTCTGCTCTGATCTTACACGTGGTGAGTGAGAGAGAATGAACACAGCTCCTATTTGGGACTCTGGTGCAGTGCCCCCCACACTGCCAGGTTTGCTGACCATGGCTGCCCGGAAGCCAGATCCAATGGGCAGTGATGTTGGTTTCATTAGTCATGAGTTAATGAAATAGCTTTTTAAGAGCTCTCTTCAGTCATTAGAATTTGACGACGGAGAGTTAAACTTTCCCCAGCGGCTCTTTCTGTGTAATCACGGTTTCAAAATTTCCTTAGCATATCACATTACACAAATCATGGAGTCCTCTTTTGTTTTACATTTCTTATGGCGTTTGTCTCACTTCTAAGCAATTCCCTCCCCATTCCCATTTATCTTCCATTATTTCTGCCAAATTGCTTTCAAGGCTACTAATTGTATGAATAATACTCTCTTCCTCAAACTCTATTAACTAGCATTAGCTGTGTGGCTTTGGACACAGTTTGCCAATCTCTGTAAAAACAGGGAGGTTGCACCAAAGAATCTATAGGGCCTCTTCTTGTGTTCAAGTTCTAGTCTTCTGACTTTCACAAAAGGTGTATGATTTTGAAAACCCTACATAAACCGGAGCCTTGGTTTTCTTGACTCTACGATGATGGATTCAGTTAGCTCATGGTCCCCAAAGTGTGTTTCTTGGAAAACTGTCCTCGGGAATGCCAACATCCAAAAAGGATTCTTCACCCAGGAATGTTCAGGAAAGCTAGATTAAATAAAATCAAGCACAGTTTTGAACTGTGGGCATTCACAGCCTTTAATATGTTAATGTACACTGGGTGAACTGGGTGACGCTCAAGAAAAGAAGTTGAAGTATTTCCCAAACTTATGGGAGCACAGAACCCCTTTTCCTTTTTTTTTTTTTTAAAGATTTTATTTATTTATTTGAGAGAGAGAGAATGAGAGATAGAGAGCATGAGAGGGAGAGGGTCAGAGGGAGAAGCAGACTCCCTGCTGAGCAGGGAGCCCGATATGGGACTCGATCCCGGGGCCCCAGGATCATGACCTGAGCCGAAGACAGTCGTTTAACCAACTGAGCCACCCAGGTGCCCTATAACGAGGATTTTAAAATAGTTCTCAATTTTCACTTCTACAAATTTGTAAAGAGGGAGAGCTTATCTGAAGACCTAAGAAAATTCCTTCTAAACTTTTTCTAGTGGGAAAAGGGAACCAAAGACACAACAGGAACTCAACACTCTAGAAATCATTGCTGAGACAGGCAACATGGGCAAGTCATCAAAGTTAGAATCATTATCTTCCATTTTAATGGTATATTAGCATTCACTTCAACCCTTAACCCAGACGCCTTTCACTGACAGTCTTATCAGAGCCTCTGCTGGATTACCTTCAGGAGCAGGGCACCCACTACTCCATAATGCAGACTATTCCATTTTAGTCTAGCTCCACTTTTTAGAAGATCCTCACCTATATTAAATGAAATTCTGAGTAGTAAATATTCTAGTTCTAAGTGACCTTGTAAATTGCCTAGTCAAGGGATTTTCAAGGCACTGTTCATGACAACACTTATGATGTTTCTCAGATGCTTTGAGCTCAATTTCGTAAGTAATTAAATAAATATCACATCTTCCCAGAAAAGTGATTATAAACTCCATCATATAAGACTCAAGGAGACTGGGTGGTTCCCTAAATTCACCAAAATAGGAATATATAGAGGTAGAATGTACTCAGGTCTCTGTTTCAAAAACCAAACTCCTTTTCTCAATAGCATATCACTTCTCTTGCATGTCCAGATACATAAAAGTGAGGAGGAGAGTGTATTTGTAAAATCTGAATGCTGTCAGGAAAATAGTGAAAATAGTTTGATTCTAACCAGGCTAATATGTCTTTGGGCATCTTGCTATTACTCTGGCCTTTAGAATTCCCTTCTCCAAAAGAAGGATTATTACATTTTCTATAAGCTCTGTTCCAATTTTGGAAATTTCTATGATTGTAAGGAAACGTATTCATTAATAAATGGTATTACTATTGACGATTTAAGTAAACAGTGAGAAAAACAAAACCCAAACCTGCATCCCTCAGAAAGGACTGAATGAAAGTTGACATAGCAAACATCATAAAGACAAACAGTTTAGAATCACATGCTTGACTTTTACTTTCTTTAATTTTTTTTTGTTTTTCTACACTAGTTACATTCAGACCAGGATAGAGGAGATGGATCACTTAAATATATCCTTTCAGGAGATGGAGCAGGAGATCTCTTCATTATCAATGAAAACACAGGGGATATACAAGCCACCAAGAGGCTGGACAGGGAAGAAAAACCTGTTTACATCCTTCGAGCTCAAGCTGTAAACAGAAGGACAGGGAGGCCTGTGGAGCCCGAATCTGAATTCATCATCAAGATCCATGACATCAATGACAACGAACCAATATTTACCAAGGATGTTTACACAGCCACTGTTCCCGAAATGTCTGATGTTGGTGAGTGAGATGCGATTTCAACCATACAATGTTTCTCCTCTAGTACATCAACTGAATAAAGGATCCTACGAGTGAAATTTACTGAGTTGAGTGAATGTAGATGCTAAATCCCAAAACTATCCTATTTCAAACACTCCCTTTATGGCCTTTTTTGTAAGTGCACCTGCGTTTCCTAATATTACTCTAGTCTCATTTTATCATTATCTTTAAGAAAACAGCATTTCCTCTAATGATGAAGGGATGAAAAATGGCAGGCAAGAACAGGAGGAAGAAAGAGACATCACCTCATCTACTTTCTGCCCCCCAGGTGCCCACTCTGTTCCTCAGGCTGAGAGATAGCGGCCCTCTCCACCTCTCTTAGCACATATTGGTATTGGGCCTGAGGTGAGGATTTCCCCAGTGTAAAACAAAAGCCTGAATCTACAATCCAGACTGAAGAGTAATGACATTTGCTTTAATTAACTATGTTTTTGGGAAAGAGACTCAAAGAAAACTTAAAAAAAAATCCATAAACAATGTGCAGATGATGATGTCTACGGGATATATGCTTTACTAAGTGATGGAAATTAAAAGATTCTCATGACATTAATATGGTAAATTAATATTTTGTGCACAACTCTACTACCAATTTTAAAGTTAATAAGTATGGCTTTAATTTATTTAAGTTGGGAGCAGGTTAACAGAATTCAAATTTAAAAAAAAAATGCTACTGACATCACTCTTAGCCACATTAAAATACTTCATGGGAGACAGTGACAAATTTTAAGCTACTTGTATAAAGGGTTATTTTCATTTTCATTCAGTGTCAACTTCAGAAGGGCTAAGATACATAATAATAACTTTTCCATAATCCTGTGAGTCAGATATCAGAGGCATTTTAGGTCACAGCATCAAGACTTGGAAAAACCTAATCCATGGAAATGACTGTAAACTCTAAATCTTTCTCATCAAGAAGTTGCTCATCTCATTACTTAAAGCCACTCTGTTTTGTTAGAAAAACCACAAACCATCAGCAAAGCAAAAGAGAGGGATTAGAATTCTTTTAAAAGGAAGATTTGTTAGGAAAAAAGTATTTTTCCTCGACGGGGTAAAAGGCAGGAAGAATTAACAAAGCACCTCTCATCGTCAGCACCACCCAGTAAAACAGTTTCCAGAAAACAAAACTTGATGTGCAAGGTGTCACTGCACAAGTATAGGGGGTGCCATTCACCTTCGAAGCCATTATAGAATTAATATGTATTACAAATATTTGGGGGGTAGCTAGAAGTAACATGTCTTGAGGAAGGGAAGGCTATCTCATTTGCACACAGGCACAGTTATGTTCATATTAACCATTATCATAAATTAACATATCATTATGATGATATAAAAAAGCATCTTAAAGAAATTACATCATGATTGTGGGACAGCAGCAGGGTGGTATAAATGGGCTTTGGTGTCAAACAGACCTGAGTTTGAAATTCTACTAATAAGCAGTAACTTGACGTCTCTGATCCTTCAGTTCCATATCTACAAAAATAATAAACTCAACTCCTAAGGATTATCGTAAGGATGAAATGAGAAAACAAGTGCAGAGCCCCCGGGATAATATCTGGCAAGTAACAGGTGCCCAAACATCCAGATAATCATATTCTAAAAGCATTCAAATTTTATATTGATGTCAAATAAGAATGTGGGTGTTCGTTGACTTCTACTATTAGCTCTCAGTCTAAAATTATATAATGCTCTCATTCCCCCCACCTTCCTTCCCACATTACAAGGATGGGAGCTCTATCTCATGCGTCAACATACCACATCCAGAGCACCCAACCCTAACACAGTTCAATATATTTGTTCAAAAAACGGGATTGGTCAGATATTACAAAAGCAATATAAAACTTCTAATATTCCCTGAATGTAACTTCCCTGTCCTTTCCATGGACTGGAGACCTCTAACAGTATGCTTACCATTTATCTGATATGAATATCAAAAGTCAACCATGAGATGATCTTCATCAGAGGGTCTCACCCTTTTTGGAAATCACAGATCCCTTTGAGAATCAGATAAAAATCTATGGATAGTCTCCAGTGAAATAGACATGTAAGCATAAATACAAAAATCTGTGTGGAATTTCATGGGGGTTAGGAATACTTTGAAGGTTATTAGGCGACTGCGGTCCTTAAAACAAGAATGCTGGTCTAAAATATCACAGCCTTCTTTGTGCATTTAATTATAATAATTTTTTTGGAATTACAGGCTCCAGATGTGAATACTGTGGTGTTTTAATTAATTATTTAATCCAACACTACCTCTTTTAAGATTCAAGGCTTTCAACCTCTTAGAATTATTAGGTAGATTTATTATTTAGGGTGCTTTTATTTGCAAGTAACAGAAAACCTAACTCAAACTAGTTTAAACAGATAAAAGTATTTATTGACTTAAGTCAGACTTAAGTCAAAAGTTAAGTGGGCTTTGGACATGGTTTCATTTGGGTTCAATTATTTCTCTGAAATTTTCTGTCCTATTCAGCTTTGTCCTCAGGCTGGCATCTCTGAGGTCACAAAGTAGCTGCTGCATTGACAGGCCCTCGATAAGCACGTTACAGTCCAGGAGAGAGAGCACCTATGACACAGAATTCCCAACAAAATCACAAGTGGCTTCCTGATTGGAGAACCCCGAAACTAATCCCCATAAACAAAGTAATGCAAGATGCTGACTGACAGGTCTGGATAACTTCCAAGAACGACCATACCAAGAATCCAATCAAATCTCAACCTTTGGAGATTGATTGGAATTGGTTCCACCCAAGGTCATGACCATCCCCATGCTTCTCTTTAACCTAACCCTTACAACATTTAGAATGTTGATCACACTCCTTCAGAGTGAGAAATCCAAGGCTATTTAACCTAGTACTATCCTGAAGTTCTCCACTCCCTTGCCATGATAGTTTTGTACAAAAGTAAGATCATGCTTTCTCTTTCTGTGTGTGGATCAAGGATCCATATGGACCCTTAATTTATTTTCAATTCATGTTTCTGTCATTACAGGCACATTTGTTGTCCAAGTTACTGCAACTGATGCTGATGATCCAACTTATGGGAACAGTGCTAAAGTTGTGTATAGTATCCTACAGGGGCAGCCCTATTTTTCAGTTGAATCAGAAACAGGTTAGAATTCCTTTTTGATCTTCTTTTTACAATCTGTAATTTTAATTGACATGTTCAGCTGAGCTGGCATATTTTTTAATAAAAACAATCAGTGTAATCGAATTTTCTTAGATTCATCTGCCAAGTACCAGCAATATACTTGTAAACATGAAATTCACATCATTTCAATCAAGAAATCTGACAATGGATGTTTCATCCATTATGTTTATATAGGGTAGATTCAGAAAAACTTCTACAATGTTATTTTTTCTTCCAGTTTGGAGTGAAGTTAAAGACCAGTCCCTTCTGAAAGCCATTAGGGCTATTTACAAATATTCCAATTCTTCTTTTTCTAGTTATTTGGTATCTCTTTGCACTGCTCTGAAGATAGAGGTAGCCAGGAGATTTGTCTGGGCCAATAAATGTGGCTGTGATCCAAGTCACTTCCACGCAGAACTTTTAGACTTGGTGCGCAATCTACATTCCTCTCCTCCTGCCACAGAGATCACAGATGGAAACCAATGTTGACACTGGTCTCCAGCCTGGATGTCTGTTATCCTGAGCAGAGCTTCTTGCGGGCCTACTCAGAGCATGAAAAAAAATTAATGTTAGCTGTGTTAAGCAAGTAAGATTTTGCCTTGTTTGTTATGACATTGTCTAGCCCATCCTAACTGAGACCATCCTAATAAACAAAGTGGATTCCTTAATGGAATCCTTGTTTTAACATCTCATTTTTCTGCATTTTCTCCCCAGAGTAGCATATTATCTTATGACGAATTATTTCTTAGGAAATATCGTCTGTGCTGTACATTAAATTCTACACATATTTTTGCTATCATAATAGGAGTTGAGTTTCTTTCGTACATTTTTCAAGCATCCATTATTGTTAGTAGAAATCAAAACTTTTCTAGATTACTAGATCCAGTTGGAAATTGATGTGTTAAGAGGTGCAACGAACTTGGCAAGAATCCCAAGGAGAAAGAAAATGCTGAGTTGAAAAACAATAAGGATGAAAAATTAGAAATATCTAACGTAAAGAACAAAAGGCTAAGGGGATCTCCTGTATTTAAATGGAGAAGTACTGTGATTGGAGAACAGGATGCAGCTGCAATTTCACTGAAGCCAGGACTCTAGGAATAAAATTGACCTGTTGTCTGAGGTATTCGTGTTAAAAATTAAAAAAAAAAAAAAGATATTTTCAGCTTCGTTAGTTGTTAAGCATTGGAATGTGCTACCAAAGAAGGTTATAAAGCCTTTAAAGCTTTCAAAGCCTTCAAAGCCTATAAAGATTTTTTGAAAGAATGTTGTTAATTTAAGCATAAAGCCTACATAGAGATTAAGCAAACTTTTAGTTCTTTCAACTACTTATTTTATAACTACCTGACAATAGAGATAAATTTAACCTAACATAAGAATATTGGTCACTGCTGGGGCCAGTTGAACTCTTGCTCACATCAGCTTTAGGAAAACTTCAATTTTCTAGGATCATACAGATGATAATTATGGGAGAACTGATGCTGTGTTTTCTTAAGACCATAGTTTTGTGGTTTAGAAAATGCTCCGAACATTCATTATGGTAGGTATATTTGATGAGCAATTAGCCGATTCAGTACAGTGAAACTCAAGAGTCAGTTCAAGGAAATGGCTTAACAATTTACTCATAGTACACTTAAATGTCTTTTATCAAGCAGCTAAAGTAGGATAACACTGTACCACATGCCAAGTTATATTTTGCAATGTAATCTTATAACACGTGATATTTATACTACCTACAATCTATACTATTGCAGTATTGGCTTGTACTTACTCTCCTTGTATGATAGGTGTTTGTTTGTTTGTTTGTTTTAATGGATCTATCTCCCCTTTGTGGTTTTAATTTCCTTCAGCATAAGGGCTACCTACAATCATCTTTAAGTCACCCATGACATCTGTATAGTGTTTTGCATATTGTGGATAACAATCCATGTTTGTATAAATAAATGATTTGATAAAGTATTTTTAATACATCCCTTTTCACTTCTGAATTTCACATCCATAGGTATCATCAAGACAGCTTTGCTCAACATGGATCGAGAAAACAGAGAGCAGTACCAAGTGGTGATTCAAGCCAAGGATATGGGTGGCCAGATGGGGGGATTATCTGGGACCACCACAGTGAACATTACGCTGACTGATGTCAACGACAATCCTCCCCGGTTTCCCCAGAGTAGGAACATTTGATTGAATGAATTTCTTCTGTGCACTTCTGTAAAACTCTAAGAATGATATTTATTTTCCATTATTATTAATCATCAATATTAGTAACCTCAGTAAGAACCATACTTTTATTAGCTGAGCAATTTCTGATATGGTTATTGTTGTAAAGCTAACACCATTGTTTTATTTTTCTTTATTAAAAAGACTACCACAGGCATAAATTTGCTTGTGCAGAACATATGTACACAAGCATGCTGCTATTTGTTAAAAAAAAAAACTGACTTTATGTTTTGTGAATTTAATCAGTCATGTAATCTCTTTTAAATCCTCACAAAGCTTTATAAGGGGAGGATTTATCATTTTACTGTCTCTAAAAATACAATCGGGGAAATAACCATGTACTTAATCCATTTATAATCATAAATAGTTTTCTATATTATGGTTAATTGAGATACGGAGAGTCTTCTCTATAATCATTAACTCTCATGACTAGATAGGAAAAAAAGAAGGAAAAACAACATTTTTAAATGCCCACTTTGTATCAAGCAGTACACTAGAGCCCTTCACATAGAGCACCTCAAGTGGGTACTGGTTTTAATGTAATTTTTCTTCCAGGAACAAAACTCATTTCTGACCATGATCTAAGTAAACTACCTGAATCCTGTCTTCCAGGAGAAAATAGCTGCCCACTATTAAAAAGAAAGCCCACTTACCCAATCATGGCATTTCCTTAAAGTTGGTCAGCTAATAGGGGCTTCTTTTATAATGGAGATACACATGGATCAACAGGAAATCATTAAATTATTTTTTAGTTTTTTCAAGTATTTAATCACAGCTAAATGCAAAAAACAGAGCATCAAACTAATTTCTGATTTAATGGGTAGAAGAAGTTTTATAGGCCCTAAAACTTTCCCCCACAGAGGCCTGAAATGACAATATCAGAATCAGCAATACTGTGCCCCAAAACCTCCTTTTCAATAGGGGAATGCCCCGGGGAAGGATAACAAAAGGATTCACCAGCACCTGGAATACCACAGGAACGCTACCTCACTTTGCTCTGTCCTTGGATGACCTGTGATCATTACTGAATAATGTACTAAAGCACAGGAAGGGAGAAAAACTCTAGAGGAAAACCTTGGCTTGGTTATCATTTTGCCAAGGATGAGCCCAACATTTACTGAATGGATGAATATTATTGCATGACTATATTCTAGTGGTGTCATAGTCTATGTCTTTTCCAAAATAATTTGCATGGATGGTTGGCAAAATGTGATGGGTGAGAGTAAAATAAATTCTGTTCTTATTCTTTTTTTTTTTTGTCCTAAGTACATGCTGGTCTGGTGGATCTAAGTTTGAAACTCATATGCAGTCTCCTTAAACTAATTTTGCAACATGAGGACATAAGAAAAGTGTACATCTATGAAATACAGGTTTTAAATCAGCCATACAGATATAAGAATAGGAGAAACCTATGCACAGAAAAAATACTGTCATGAAATTTAAAAGAAAAGATTAGTTGAAGAAACAATTAGGTGCTTTCTCTCTCAATGCATCTAATGTGTATCCCTAACTGCAGCCAGACCAGCTCCCTGTGTGAGTGAGTGTCTGCTTGGGTACATCCTCCAGATCGCTGTCATTTATTTTCACCTCCAGCTGTTATTAGCAATGACACAAAGAACCCTTTTAAGAACTACCTCATAATTGGCTTGAAGTCACAGGTCAGGTTAAATTCTTTCCCATTCTTTCTGCTAAAATTATTCAATGGGGGCTTCAAAACCTTGTGCACCACCCCCACCCCGAGCAGCTTAGTCTTTCTTGCCATCATACCCATGAACCTGGAGGCCTATTTACAGGACAAGAAAATTGTTCTCCATCTGCAAAGAGAGAGGTCATGACAGAAGAAATATTCTTAACAATCATGAAAGTAAGGATGTAAGGAGGATTGAGCACCATTAATTATCGTGAGGAAAGTACAATCTGCCTGCATCCGTAGTAATGTCTGAAAGAACTGTTAGAAAATAGGTTTTGTCTTTATTATGATAGAGCATCCTTCATCTGTGCTTGACTTATATCTGTCTGGTGATTAATAGGTACATACCTGTTTAAGACCCCCGAATCTTCTCCGCCTGGTACACCAATTGGCAGGATCAAAGCCAGCGACGCTGACACAGGAGAAAATGCTGAAATTGAGTACAGCATTACAGAGGGAGAGGGGCTGGACGTGTTTGATGTCGTCACCGACCAGGAAACCCAGGAAGGGGTCATTACTGTCAAAAAGGTAATGCCATTTGTTAACTACCATGCAAATGAGACATTCACTTTTCTCTAGTCCCCGAGTAACCAGGGTAATTATGTCTCACATGAACGTTCCTCTGGATTATTTTACTAATTTTTTTTTAAACACCAAATCTAATGGTTGGCTTTTAGAAGTCCTCGATAATCTGATGCATTCATTAACTTCATACTTTTAATAAATTCTTATTAAGAACCTCCTAATAAGTAAATAAATGACAAAAATAAATAATATACATTAAAGTACATAAAATAAATATTGTCAATGAATACTAAACAAACAGTGCCAGACACTATTCTAGATGCAGGAGGTGCAATAGTACATTCAACAGAATGGTCTCTGCTTCCACAGAACTGCCAATCTAAGGCAGAAAAGAGACAAGGAAGCAAATAAGCAAACAAACAAGTGTATAGTTATAAATTCTGATACACGCTTTGAAGGAAGAGAGTAACACAAGCAGTGATAAAGATGGCCTGAATTAGAGAGAGAAAGAGGGTATAAAAAGACCACAGAAATAAATTAACACAAATTTCCTATGAGCTCTTTAGCTACTCTTTGGAACACGATAATAATTTTTTTATATTTCTGAATTCCAATTTTTGCCCTATATACTCACTATTTACCCCCAACAATTGTCTAGGACCACAGAACAGTACACAGAAGTGTGGAAAAATTTAAAACCAATGAACCGTGTGCTTCAAAGCTAACAATACATTAGTTTTGGTTACCTTTTTTAATGATTGCACTTTCATCACGTACAGTGTAATATTTTCTCTCTCCTTTAGCACACTGTTATATTCGCTGGTAAATGTAAGTATAGGTGGATGTAAATAACGAGAAAATTCTTTCCTCTTAAGCTTTGGATTACATGTCTTAATACCTGGAAACACAATAAAACATGTTTAAGCGACACTGAGACCAATGTTATATACTATAATATAATTAGGAAGCCCATTAGTGTGCATTAACCTTTTTAATTTTCTTAGTGCATTATCAGATTCAAACTGAAATTTTGCCTAGCCAACTAAATCACATTCACTAATATCTTGATTAATTGTGTTTCTAGTGAGCCTTGTCATATCATCATCTAAAACTAAAAGTCAGCAATAAGCATTTGGGTTCACTATGTCTCAAGAAGTAGAGATACTTTTCCTAAAGACCTCTGATAGCAATGATCATTACTTTCGTTGGCAAGTAATTAGCCCAATGCCCTTATCAGGATATCACTTGGAATATTTTATCAACTCATGCACAATGCACAAAAAAAAACACAAAAAAACCCCACAAAACCATATTAAATCTATTTTATCGGAATGAGGAAAAGGGAGTCATGATGCAAACATGTGGTTCTCAATTCTGGTTGCACATCAGCATCACTGGGGGAGGCATTTAAACATATAGATTCCTACCCCTACCACAGATATTTTGGTTTAATGATCCAGGGTGGGGTCCAGATACTGGCAAATTTTAAAACACTCATTAAGTGTTCAAGTACAGCCAGATGTGACAACATCTGACACAGAATAATCTGCGTATTTACCAACTTGCCCCTGACAGGGCTCCCTCTAGTCAAATACAAGAATTTTTTTTAAAGGAGGTCTTACAAGACTCCTGCTTCCAGTTTCCCTTCCCTGTCCATTATACCTTGCACCCTTGCACCCACTTGCAAGGCTACAGCATTACAGATATACACATATAACAGTGTGCTAAAGGAGAGAGAAAATATTACACTGTACATGATGAAAAGTGCAATCATTAAAAAAAGTAACCAAAATTAATTATTAGCTTTGAAGCACACGGATTATTGGTTTTAAATTTTTCCACACTTCTGTGTACTGCCCTGTGGTTTCAGCCCACACTTTTCATCAGGACAGTGTAGCATCTGAACTCCCATGCCTTTGCCCAATTTCACACTGTGTGGTGGTGTTCCTAAGCAATACGGTCATATTCATTTACCCTAGATTTGCACTAAAAATAGCTCATGTCTTTCTGTGTGTCTTGGTTGCTTCCAATATGTCCCTTCCCCCTGCCCTCCCCAAGCTCTTGGACTTTGAAAAGAAGAAAGTGTACACCCTCAAGGTGGAAGCCTCCAATCCTCATGTTGAACCCCGCTTTCTCTACCTGGGTCCATTCAAAGATGCAGCTACAGTCAGAATTATGGTGGAAGATGTGGATGAGCCCCCCGTCTTCAGCAAACTGGCCTACATCCTACAGATAAGAGAAGATGCTCAGATAAACACGACAATAGGCTCAGTCACAGCCCAAGATCCAGATGCTGCCAGGAATCCTGTCAAGTAAGCACACTCCTGCGACCTGTCTCTTTCAGAAGCTTTAGCCAATTGCTATGCAAGCATCACCTGCAAGTTAGAAAATTAATCCTTTTTTCCAATGAGACACTTGTGTCTTCCTGAAAAACTACTCTACACAGCATCTTTACTCTCCTTGCTCAACATAAACATTATTTTAGCAACAGTGTAAATCTAAAAAACACAAAATTGGGGGGGACACACAAAATGATCTATAGGAGTTGACTACTTACATGAAAATGGTATAAGGAAATACAACAGAATGGCCTGGAATTTTTCTTTAAGGTCTTAGATTTGTCAAAGAGTGGCATGGAGAGAACTCTGTGACTTTTAATAAACAAGACACCAGGCTGAGTCTGTTTCTCAAGTGTGTAAGAATCTATCATATAACACTTAGAAGCAGAATTATGCTCCATTTGGATGCATAATGTTTTTCTTTTTCAGACATGGATAAAAATAAGAGTCATTTCATGATATATGTCTGAGAAATCCTGGGGAAATTAATAGAGCTGAATTCTAATTTATACTATGTAAGCAAGCTCTATTTTCCCTATACATTCCATAGACCTTAGCTGTAAATCACGCTGTAAGAAAGTCTCATTGCTCTTTGAAACCACAGATGCTTTAGTATTCTAGAATTTTATCATGAGAGCACTGGAGTCAACAACTTCCAGCCTTGAGTCAGTAGCTTAGTTGACTAGATGAGAAAACTGCTAAATCAGAATATCATTCTATCAATTAGCCCCCATAAAAAAAAAAAAAAGTAAGCAGACTGACAAGCTAGAGGACCTCTTGCCAGTGAGCCCACAGATAAATTCTGATCAGGGCACCTGCCATATGCCAGGTATGTTCTAGGCTTTAGAGATACAATAGAGAATAATATCAAGTCCTGATCTCATGAAGCTTACATTCTAATTGGGGCAGACAGAAATAGGCAAACAACAAATATGCAGTATTTCAGGTAAAATATAGTGTAATCAGTAAAATAAGACAGAGTATGGAAACAGAGGGTATCTAGGGTACCATTTTACATAGGGTAGCCAGGTCTGCCCTTGGTAAGAAATCATTTGAGTAAAGATTTGATTGAAATGAAGGGATGAACTATGTTGATATCTGGGAGAACATTCCAAGGAGAGGGAAAAATGAGGGTAAGGACTGATACCAGAGCTTGCTTGGCATGAAGAAGGAGTAGCAAGGAGGTTTATGAGCTAGAAGAGAGCGAGCAAGGTGGAGAGTAGTTTGTAAAGCAGGAGGCAACAGGGAGGTATGGTAAGTGATGAGTGTGGCAGGTCCTACAGGGCATTTGCAGGCCTTGGTAAAAACTGGATTCTATTCTGATTGAGGTAGGAAGCCACTGCAAAGTTTTGAATAGGAGTATTAACCTAATCTAAAACTACTGTTTGAGAGGATCACACTGGTGGCCCCATGAAGAATATTATTGCAGATGAAAGAGTTTGAGGTTCTAAGGCAATCATTTTCTAACTTTTCAGCCATGAGCTCTTGTTCAAATGAAACCTTATGGCAAGTCCCACATCTAAAACACAAAAATGCCTGGCTTACTCTCAGGGAATAGTTTTAAATCAACCGGAAAATAGACTCTTGTTCTTTTATCATTCTATAAGAATATCTGCAGACTCTGTGAACTGGACTATGGTCAACCCAAAGTAGCCACATGTAAGCTCCACAGATCAACTGTCCTTCCATATACATTTAATATTATTAATAAGGAAAATAAACGACAGCCTTTGTTTGTACAGCACAAATAATTTTACGTACTTTCACAGCCAATTCTCTCACTCGGAGTTTGTCCTAGGTGTGTAAGGGAAAAATCTTAGCAAGTCAATGTTAAGACCAATTTAAAAGGGTTAATGCCGAAGTTCATATATATATGAGCTTTGTTAACTCTTTGATCAGTCAACATGCTTTTAATTGAAAGAGATAATGTATCCTGCGAATTTAGGCTGCATTTTTATGTCTATTTTACTTTTTATAATGAATACCATTTTAACCCACTGCATTATTTTATGTTTTATTAAAGAAAGTAGTTAGCTTGTCAGACCGGGTTGGCTGTCAGCTAATTTTGAATTTTTTTATACCAGCCTTTTCTTGGTACATATGGATTTCATATATAGATATAGACTGAAGGGTAAAAATACAAATAAGGATATATTGGTATATAAATGTATATTCCAGGGAGTCCTTTTATAGGACAAAAGTGATTCTCATATTGGGAAAGTACATCCACACATAGTTTTTGGTTATCCAAGATTTAAGTATTGAACAACTAAGGTGCTAGACAATATGTTAGGTACACAATTAATATTAGAGAATTCTCCCCCCAAACATTGATCTATCATTATGCAGGCATAAATCTTTAATTCTTTAATTACATAAAATAATTTTCTTCCAGTAACTTTATCGCAAATGCCCTTTGACAATTCCATGGAAGAGCCTTATAAAATGTCACTCTGAAGAGATATTATGAAAAATTTACATGCAAACATACTTCCTTTCCTGACCCACAAATCTCCCTGACTTGAGAGGATGTATTAGAAGACAAATTATTGAATCACAGGATATAATAAATTTCGGGGGGGGGGGAAGAGCTACCTAGCAAAATAATCTGCTATAATCATGTTAAGATTGATTACCTTGTTCCTTATCTGTTGTGACTACAATTAATGTGACTGGGCAGTAAATATACTAGATATGAATTGAAATTACTTTGGAAAGAAAAACAACAAACAGATAAGGCTTCATGTGCAAACATCTTTCCTAAACAATGTAGACATCTGAAATTTCCTATTAATTTTTAAATCTCCCAATTAAGGGAAAAACTCACGTACAATTTCGGTATTTCCTAAGTAGTTTCTCTTTAATATCAATATCCACTTCAACTCAAAATTCCTCATCCCATATTCTTTATTTCAAAGGCTTGACAGGAAAATATGACTACTTGTAAAACTTAAAACTATAGCAGGAAGAAAACAGACAAAGAACAAGAAAAGATTACTGCTGTATATAATTGTAACAGCTTATAAAGGCAATAAGCAGCATATCTTAAGCTTGACATTTTTCATGAGGGGAAAAAAATATTTGTAGGCTGTCATTAAATTTCTTACAAAGTCTATGAATATTGAGATTTCCTTTTTGGGTAGTTATGTGCTATAAATATTTATCATTCTCAAATTAAAAGTGAAGGCAGGTGATCAAGTTCAATGCTGTTGCCTAAATTCTTAATAAACATTGATTCATGACATAAATGGCAAAAATAATGGCTATTTTATCTGTAAGAGATGAACCCTTAATAATAAAATATAAGGTTTATATAAACTAAAATTAAAATTCTAACCTGACTTGAGATATATAGATAGATATTCTTTTTGAACTTCTTAATTCTCTTTAATATCAGGTTTAAATAGACTCCAATAATCAAATTTCTATTTTATTTAGACCCTTGATAGATGACAAAAATATATTTTATTTAAACAAAATATACTTATTATAATTAACCAGTTACATTTTAAAGCAAAATAATCAACTGAAATAGAATCTTGAACATGGTACACTATTACAAGTTAGTAACAAGAGCTTATTTATTAGAGCATTCATAATAAGTCTACATGTGTATGACTAGTTGGTTATCTACTTAGTTGTATTTCTACCAAGACAATATTTTTAAATTTCCCATCATGACATAAATTTTGAGACTCTAGCTGAAATGGACAATTTTTCCCCCTAATGACCTTAACGTATCAACTGTCTCCTGAGTTTTCTCTTTAATATCCCCTACATAAAACAGTGCATACATATTTTCCCCATATATAGCTATTCCAAAAAACTGGTAATAAATTGATAAAGAAGATACCATTTCTCAAAATCTGCTAGTCTTCCATCAATTTCAGTGTTGAAAACTCTGTCCTCCTTTGATTTCTAAGACAACTCTTGGTTTTCTTTGAATTCTCTGAACTCCTTAAACAGTTCTCCAGTTCCTACTCTGCTCTGGGCACTGCTCTGGGCACTGTGGGTCCCCATTTTCTCCATTTAAGTGATTCTCTCCTTAATGTTTTTCTCCCTTCACTGGACTTTCTCTTCCTAGACAATTGAACCGGAAATCTAAGCTGTCAATCCAGATCTTTCCCTTCCCAGGCTTTCCTTGATCACCCTCAGCTTTAATATATCAGGAACTTAGGATCTTCCCCAAATCCTGTCCTTCTCTTCTTCTACCAGTTTGTGACTGCACCAGCTAACCATTCTCCTCAATTCAACCAGTGATCTTTGTTAAACATGATTTAGGTTGGAACATTTCCCTGCATAAAATCCAGTGGTAGATTCTCCCTGCTCTTAGAACAAATCCCAAATCCTCGCTATGGTCAGCCCATCCTTCCACAGTCCAGACTCTGAATCTCTCCCCAACCTCATTTTCTCTCTCTCTTTTCCCACCTCACTAACTGCAGCCACACTACCCAGTTTTTGCTTCTTTCTACATAATGATTTTTAAAGCAAAGTAGACAACAGAAAACGAGACAAAAACCCTACTCATGCACGGGAACACCTGCGTACACATTAAAGTTCTAAGGTTCTAAAAATTTGAGTTAAAATGTGACAATTACTGTACAAACTTGACACAAATTACATATAAGAGAAACTTTATTGGTGAGTCTCAAACTCATGCAACTTGTCTAATGGGTTTACCATTAGGACCTCAATTGTAAAGAATTAATTTCCCAGAATATTTTGCTTAATACTGAGTTATAGATATGCAAATATGTCCTACAAGTAGAAAAAATTCATGTAACAGAAATTCTGGGCCTAGTTTTAGGATGCGAGAATAACAAATACAAGGAAAACCTTTCTAGCATTGTATGGGGACAGATGGTAGCTACACTTGTGGTGAGCATAGCATACATGTACACTTGTCAAATCATTATGCTGGACACCTGAAACTAAGGTAACTGTGTGTCAACTATATTTCATTTTAAAAAGAAAAGAAAACCATTCTAAATTCTACTCTGCATTTTTAGGTATTCTGTTGATCGACACACAGATATGGACAGAATATTCAACATTGATTCTGGAAATGGTTCAATTTTTACATCGAAACTTCTTGACCGAGAAACACTGCTGTGGCACAACATTACAGTGATCGCAACAGAGATCAGTAAGTCTAACCTCACACCACAGCTGTCCCCAGTTGACAGAGTATGGAGTGAGTGACCCGGCAAGGGCTGGTGAAGCGAGGCTGAAATTCATCACCATGTACTGATATCCTACTCGATACATATTGAGGGAAAGAGCCCTGTAATGATTTGCAGTAATGTTTCTTCTGGGCATGTGTTAATTCATTCACAAATGCAGAGGCACCTGTGGATGATCTGTAGTTCAGAAATAATAAAATGAGAATGCATCTCTCAAATGAGGTTGAATTGGTACATATTGGATTTGATTCCAAAAAGCTTTATCAATCAGAACATAACAGAAGCAGCTGAAAAACATGGGCTCATGGTTGGAATTGGGAGAGGAGAGGAATCAAGTATATTAAAAAATGTAGGCATTACTTAGAAACCTTTCAGATATCTATCCTCCAGCTTTCTATAGAATTTCTAGTTCAAAATCATTACAGAAGTAAGAGATATAAATTTTAGCTTTTCCACTGTACACCAAAGTGAGCAATCCAAACCACCAAGTAATCAATAAGATGTTTAGAGCAGATTTTATGGAAGTCCCCATGAAATTGAAGGCAAAGAAAAATAGTGCCAAATGAATGCTTCAAATAAAATGATTATACACAGTGAAAATTGTGTAATGTAAACACAATGTGCAGGCCTAAGTACAGGAAAGAAAAAGTATTTTTAAAATAACATTTAAATGCTTAAAAATAGGCCTCCAAATTATAGCTCATTTTTTAGTTTTTGTTTTTGATTTTAAAAGTTCAGATATTTTTCGCTCAGTTGGGTATCTAGTGTGAAATATTCCATATCTAATGGTATATTACAGTAGTATTCTTTGTCAACCTAACTCATGAGATTTGAAATGGCTGAAGAATATTGAGTAGAATAATAAATAACCAATATGGGCAAAATGAAGCATTGCTTTGTGAGAGCATTAGGAACTCCTAATTACAAATCTGTTAGGTAGGAATTTGCTCTCCAGAATTTATGCGCAGGGACTAATGCGGATACCAATGACAGAGCATACTTAAAGCTTTAAAATTACAAAATTATTTTTCCCACTGAAAAGGACCATTTTTTATAACATCATGAAATTTTATGTTTTACTGAAGTAGTCATTTCATGTGTTTTTTAATCTTTGTGCCTAAAAATTTTTTTTAAGACTTAATGTTTCTGTGATATATTTGAAAGTACTAGTGATAAAGACCTTTTAAAACTTCATCTTCGAAACAAGATGAAACCAGAGAGGGAGACAAACCATAAGAGACTCTTAATCTCAAGAAACAAACTGAGGGTTGCTGGAGTTGAGGGGGGGATGGGGGGACTGGGTGATGGACACTGGGGAGGGTATGTGCTATGGTGAGTGCTGTGAATTGTGTAAGACTGATGAATCACAGACCTGTACCTCTGAAACAAATAATACATTATATGTTAATAAAAAAATTTTAAAAAAACTTCACCTTCAGCAACTCCAACTTTGGAATAATGTGAGCAACATTTTAGATGCAAAGGAGCTTAAGAATCTTATTGTCTAAACTTCTTAACTATCTTTGATGCAACAGAAGCCCAGAGCTTACATAAAACCAGCCCACTCCCATTCCGGGGCCTTGGCACTTGCTGTTCCTTTTATCTGGAGAGCCGGAAATATTCACATGGCTTAATTCTTCTCTTTATTCATGTCTCTGTCCAAATGGCATCTCATCAGATGAGAATGAGCGGTCATCCCACTCAAAGTAGCACCTCCACCTCTCTCCCATCCCTTTCCCTCTTTAACTTCTCCATAGCATTTACCATCTGATGCATTATCTACTTATGTGTTTACAGTTTATCTGCCCCCAGTAGAATAAAGCTCCAGGATGCCGGATCTGTGTTATATCCCCCATGTGTCCCAGCACCCCAAAGAGTGGCTAGCACGTATTAGAAATGAGATGCTCACTAAATATTTATGATGTGAATAAACAGATATATAAGTGAAGTGAATGAGGAGCGCAGAGCTCAGAGATTCCAATTCCTGATTCTTAGACCGAGAATCTGTCTTCCACACTGCCCAAAATACTCATTCACCTCCAGTCTTCCAACACGGATGCTGCTCTGTCATTATCCTGGATGAACAGCCTGGGCTTTGGAATCAGACAGACCCAAGTTGAAATCTAGGCTCTACTTCTTACTTATCATCTCTGTGAAGGTGGACAAATTACCTAACCTATCTGTGCCTCGGTTTCCTCATCTCTATAGTAGGGGCAATAGCTGTATTTACCTCAAAAGTTTGTAAGGATTAAATAAGATAATATAGCAAAGTGCCGAGCACTACATCTAGCTTGTATTCAGCACAAAAACTAAAGAGCTAAGACCAAAACAACCATTGGTTTCCTTCACATTTCCTTCGATCTTTCTTTTGTACAATTTTCCCCATCTCCTTGCTTCTTTGGCTTCTCTTAAAATCTGCCTCTAGACTGCCTTTCTTGGTGGATAGCTTTTCTTTATTTTGTGTGACTCTGGGTTTCGCTATCCAGTTGTACTCTACCCACACAAGTAGCTTTGTCTCATAGGTATCTCCAACAGGTGTACCCAACTCCAGAAGTACCAATCTAATTCTTTTTGGTGACTAAGTTGTACGTAATGCCCTGTGGTACTTAGAGCAGCCTTGGGGAATCTGCGTATGAATGAGAAAGAAGTGAGTGACAATTGTCTAAAGAGGATTGGCGATCAATACATAAATGCCTATTTCTTTCTTTTTGGCATGTTGTAGATAATCCAAAGCAAAGCAGCCGAGTCCCTCTATATATTAAAGTTCTAGATGTCAATGACAATGCCCCAGAATTTGCTGAATTCTATGAAACCTTTGTCTGCGAAAAAGCAAAAGCAGATCAGGTGAGTTTCGTAAGAAAGCAAATTAATTCAGTCAGATTAATTTAGATCTTCTAATACACAGAGCTGAGGGCGAGTTTTTGAATTATCTATGAAGTATATGCTAACAAAATTAATACTATAAATAAGAACCAGAATGAATGTTTAACTTGCATAAGAGAACAAACAGTTTTTAAGAACTGGAAGTTCATCATTCTCAGAGACTGATGCTGATTCAAATCAGTCTTAAGTTTTCATTAAAATAGATTAGTCACAGCTTTATTGGAAAAAATCTTAATTGGTGAGCTTACTTTTAATTACCGTATATACTGGAAAGCAATAACCAGAACATATTTTACAACTGTCTATAATTCAGAGTTTCACTTATTTATATTGCCCATCTGTACAAGTAATACAAATTCGTGAATGTTTTCCTGTTTTACACATTTGTCCCTACCTGAAATAGGTCTTTTCTGCCAGTGAAATAGGTCTTTATTCTGCCAATAAAAATTATGTTACAGTTTGTCAAAATAGAAGTGCAGTTAAAATACATGTTAAAGCAGGAAGCTGAAGTTGTATTTTATGTACAAACTTTCTTGTTAGCTTTTAGGCAAGTCGATGGCTTATGTATATGTCAAGACTGCGTTTCTAAACAGGCTGTGTCCAAAGAGTGCCTGATTTTTTTAGTTGAAATGTTTTCGTAGATCATTGTGGTATTTTATAGCTTTGTATCTCTCTAGGGCAGTGTTTCCCAACCCATGTGATTTTGCCCCCAGGGGACATTTGGCAATGTTTGGGGACATTTTTGATTGTCACAAAGAGTAGTGTGCTATGGGTGTATAGGGGGAGGAGGCCAGGCTTGCTGCTAAATATCCTACAGTGCCCAGTGGGGTTAGCCCTATAACAAAGTATCATTCCTGGCTCTATTTCCAACCCATTAGTTCATTGCATAAAGTAGATTCATTGTAAATTTTCTAGAGGCTATTGTTTTTAAATTAAAATTAGAAATCAGGGGCGCCTGGGTGGCTCAGTCGTTAAGTGTCTGCCTTCAGCTCAGGTCATGATACTGGAGTCCTGGGATCGAGCCCCACATCGGGCACCCTGCTCAGCGGGAGGCCTGCTTCTCCCACTCCCCCTGCTTGTGTTCCGTCTCTCTCTGTCAAATAAATAAATAAATAAAATTTAAAAAAAAAGATGCGTTAAAAAATAAACATAAAAAAATAAAAATTAGAAATCGTGTAGTCAAGCAATTTACTACAAAACTGTAAGGAACACTTTTGAGTTAGCTGAACTTCATAGCAGCTTTATGGTTTTGATTTTAGTTGATTCAGACCCTACGAGCCATTGACAAAGATGACCCTTACAGCGGGCACCAATTCTCCTTCTCTTTGGCCCCGGAAGCAGCCAGTGGTTCAAACTTTACCATTCAAGACAACAAAGGTAAATGTGCCCAAGTTATCTTCTGTCTATATATTGATAGCTTTCTCTCTCGCTCTCTGTTAGCATCACAATTTTTCCAAACCACGATGTGGTATGCACGTGACATTCACCACTTTGCTTTCCGGTTGCAGATAACACGGCAGGAATCTTAACTCGGAAAAATGGCTACAACAGACACGAGATGAGCACCTACCTCCTGCCCGTGGTGATTTCAGACAACGACTACCCAGTCCAGAGCAGCACAGGGACAGTGACTGTCCGGGTCTGTGCATGTGACCACCACGGCAACATGCAGTCCTGCCACGCAGAGGCCCTCGTGCACCCCACGGGCCTGAGCACAGGGGCCCTGATCGCCATCCTTCTGTGCATCGTGACCCTACTAGGTAAACTGCTTCTCCCTGCCTCCTATCTCCCCATGCTGAGGGGCACACACTGTTACTGTGACACCCTAGATTTATCCGCCTCCCCCGGTAAGGCATACAGCCCAATCTAGGTGAGCAGAGTTATATGCTGAGGATCTGTGTTGTTCAACCGTGAACTAGTTTTGGCTTGAAAACAGCTTTGGAGAATGAACGGATGTGAAACTGGCCCATGTCTTCATCTACCCCGGGAATCAGTCCACCCAAAGCATCTCTCGTCTATCAGACAGGGGGACTGGAGGGCACTCTCAATGTGCCCTTTCCATTTCATTTGTTGTTTCCCGTTTAACCTGGAAAACGTTAAATTTTAAAGAGAGAAAGTCATCTGGCACAGAGGGTGTGCTGAGGGCCCTTTCTATGAAGGTAAAGTTTAAAGATCAATGGGAAAGTGGAAAGAGAAATGTGATGACTTTTTCTCTCTCATATGGGGAAATGAAAAGTGATGAAATTTTCTTCCACCCAGCCAACTTGCTTTGGGCTACCCCTTTGAATCACTAACTTCTTAGCCTTGCTCCCCAACTGCCACGTACACAATGTCTATTATTTCTCAGACTCTCAATAATTATCAACTTCTGTGACTAAGGAAATAAATCTGGAACCTAAAAGAAATGAATGCAATCAAGGTGAAAATTGAGGTCTAGCAATGATTCAAATGAAATTTTTGTCCCCAACCCATGAATTAAGCACACAGGTTGAGCTCAAAATGCTCAACAGACCGTTGACTGTTGTGAACTAAGAAATCAAATGTTAGTTAACTCAGTTCTTCCAAAAGTCAAAGTAAGCTTGCTACACAAGGGGGAAGAAAATGAAGAAGTTAAGCGTCAACCTGGATTGCCCGGGGGGGCGGGGAGGGGAATCTTTTTAAAAATTACAATATAGCGTCAAGAAGAATATAGAGTGAAAGACCTACATTTTTCCAAGAAGAGAATGCCTAGGGATCCCTGCTTAAGAGTTTCACATTCCATATCAATTTTGCTAATTATAACAGAAGTCTTTTAACTACAGAACTGTGATTCTCTTTGTCAACGAAGAGTTGGGGAAAGTATTTTAAGATATGAAGATAAATAAAAGCTGACAGTATGCAAAGACAAATCAGTGTTTCTAATGGTGTGAGTCTGTAAAAATTGTTTTGGAAGAGAAGGATACAAATATTCTTTTTGATTAGGGGGAAAAAGGTTATTTTTAGAAGGGCTGACTTGGCAAGCCTGTAGTCAGGGAGAATTCCACAGACTCTTCCATGGTCTATAGAAGGAGAGCTCTCATCTCAAAGAGGTGATTCTTCCTTTCCTTCATCATCTACCCATTTTCTCTCCCTTCCCCCCCCTACAGCTTTTTTCCTCCTCACCAACTCCCTTTATCCTCTCTTCATCATTTCCTTCCTCCAATAAATTTGCTGTTTCCTCGGGACTCCTAACTTGTCTCCTTGCTCCTTACATCTGGTCTAGTGTCTTTGGAATTCTGTACCTAATTAAAAAAGGAGCTCAATGGGACTGATCCTTTACTAGGCTAACACCGTAGGCTACACACTGGCCAAGATGCTTCACAACTGCTCTTCTCCTTTAACCCTCAGAACCATCTGGTATATATTTATCTGCATCTCAAATAAGAAAACTAAGGCTCCAAGAAGTGCAGTCCTGTAGACACGTCGCACAGCTAACAGGTGGTAGAACAAAGTTCCAAACCCAGGTCTTCCACTCCCTGAGGCTTGGTGCTTCCACACTGCACTCTACTTTCTTTGTGAGCTCATAGAAGGCAGGGCAATGTCCAGGCTGAAAGAGAGCTTGAACTGCAAATGAGACCTTCGAAGAAGGTGGAAGCAAACCTGAGATTTATAAGAGAAAAGCCACACCGATGTGGGAGGAAATCTGCAGTCAATAAAGTGGATCCTGTGGCATCTTTGTTTTATTTACAAAAATAAAACCACAGTGAAAACAACTACGACATCTCGTGTCTCTATGGTGCTTTAGAGTCTACGAAACTTCCACATTTATGAACTCATTCCTGATGACAACACTGGGCACTGTGTTGTTGCTTCTCTTTCACGGAAAGAAACAGACTTAAAAGGGTCAAATCCTTTAAGTGAGCCTAGGCAGGCTGATTTCAAATGCTTTGCTACCTTCTAGCTTTATGATGGGATTTGAGAGCAAATTGGTCCAAGCATCCCTCTTCCCCCCACCCCCCCCCCACCAAAATCTCTTTGCTGTCCTTTGGCCTCAGGGGGTAGAGAAAAGGGAAGAGGTCAGTTACTGGGAAGAAAGCTATTACTTTCTCAGAATGTATTTTTTTGTTCCACGTGCTCAGAACTCACATCTTCAGTCGATAAAAGTTAGCTTTGAGAAAGATTTCCCTTCTAGAATTTCTGTTCAGATGTACATTGGGCTAAAAAGAAAAGATACAGGCAGTTGTAGCTGTAGGAGAATGAGGCAGTGAAGAAATGCCTTTGAATTACCCAATGTGCCCTCTCTTCTAGGTATTGCACTTTCGGGTGTGCAAAGGACCAAAACAAAAGATACAGATCACTTAAACTGGGGCAGAATTAGGTAGTGATAAATGCCTGCTCTCTTGCCTTAAATGATGGCACAAACCGTGGTACACAAAGGTTGAATGAATTGGGAGACATTCATCTTGATTCTATTCGTTATCCCCAGAGGCCATCCTTAGTTACAAACCTCTGTTTCGCAAATCCTTGCCATTGGTCACACTGGAATCCGGCATAAAGGGTAGATTATGAACATCCCTCTGCCCAGAGCCCTGCAATTTTCCACCCACCAGCTCCTCAGGGTAAAGTGAGGACATACAGAAGCCTCCAGGCCCCACATGACATGGCCTTTCCCTACTCCCTTCCTGTCCTGGCGGGGCTCCCTCAGGTCCAGCCGTAGGGTCTCCTGGCTGTTTGTCACACACTCCAGGCACCCTCCCATCCCAAGGCCTTTCTTCTAGCTCTGTCCTCTTCCCCTGACAGCTCCTTGGCTGACTCCCCACACCTTTGCTCAACTGTCACTTCCTCAATGAGGCACTCTCCTCCTACAAAGCATACACAGCCTCTCAATCACACACGGAAGTGCTCTTCACCCTCCTCCCTCTGCTCTACTCTTTGTTGACACTGTACATATCACCTTCTAATAATTTCCTTATTTATGCTACACATTGTTTGTTTTCAGGCTCCATCCACCACTACCACCACCCCTGCCCACCTCCTGATTAACGTTTTGCACCGATAGTGCCTAGAACAGGACCTGGCACAGACAGAGTAGGCACTACATAAATATTTCGTAAATGAATAAATACATAAACGCCCCGAATGGCTGAGACTAATGAGGCATGAGGATGCTCTTTGGCAGCAAGAGAGAATGTGTACAATTACACAACCACACACTTGAAATGGCAACAGTGGACAGCCTTTAGAAGTAGTCTATAACCCAAACATGCTTGGTGATTAAAAGTGTTGGCTTTTCAGTCTGACCTGGATTTCAATTGTTTGCATATGTGACATCTCTAAACCTCAATTTCCTCTATGAAAAATGGTTACTATATTATATAGTACATATAATATATATACATTATAAAATGAAGGTCCCTACTTTGTAGGGCTGCTGTGATAATTAAATGAGATTCAGTATGTAAAGCACTTGCCACAGTGCTTGGCATATAGAACTCTCTCAATAGATAACCAATTATTAATAACACTATTAACACCTGAAAATTTAATATATAGATATCTGGGTATGCATATATCCATCATTATATAGGTAGATATACATAGTCACCAAAAGCCATTATTCTGTAATCCTTACTACAATATTTCAATCTTTATGGCTCATAAAGTCTGGACCATGTTACGGATGAGAAAATAAAAACATGTTACTAGTACTTCCTGTAGTAAACACCCCTGGACCATCCCAGTTCAACAATGCATTTTCTGCCCCGGATGGCATTTCCTCTCTAATCTGTCACTGTGTTTTTATTTTCCCACCCATATGTCCATTCAGAGATGTGTCTCTCTACAGGTAGCCAGCTGTGTTCGACCCAGTCAGCTGTAAAGAAGCACCAGGAGCTCGTTAAACACAATTCTTGCTTTGCCTCTAATTTGGGTTAAGGAGGAAAAATCCAAAGAACGAACATTCCAGGCAACAAACTTACAGAATATGAACCTTTGAAATAATTTTTTCAAGTTCCCTCTTAAATGTGTTTATTTTGTTTAGCTCAAACAGAAATAAGCTGGTGCGTGTCTTATAACCTGCCCCCTTTTAAATGGGCTGATCTTTAAGTCCAGAATGGTTTTCTGACTTGTATCTGGGCCCCTCCAGGTATTATCTGTAATCGTATTTCTTCTATGTAGAAAGGTATGCAGACATTCACATCTCTACTTTGGGTTTCAAACGAATTTTACACTTCTCCCAGGGAAGAAAAAAGAAAAGAAGGCATAGCGCAAAAGTTATTTTAGCTGTGGAGTTATGCAAACCTTCAACACATCCCGAAGGTGCCAGCCTTGTGCTTATAAGCAGTTTCAGAGCATTTTAGGTGTTCAGCATAATTTGCACTCTTATTGCCGCACTCTCGCTGTTTGAGCTTTTTTTATTATTATTTTATTTTTTCCTTACCTTGAAAACAAGTTTGCCATTTCAAAGCAAAAGGGAACTACTGACAAAATATGAAGGTGTTTTATCCTCTACTTAAATCGTAACTCTCTTTCAAATATTTACTCCGATTTTTTGGGGGGGGGTGGTCCTGGTTTGATCATGGAGGGAGGCAAGCGCAACCTCAAAGCAATAAAAGTTGAGTCTGCAGTTTCCTAGAGAAGTTTTAAAACTTCACATTGGAGCAGTGTGTCTTGCTGACATTAATTGGGCAGCGATTTAACTTTCCCTTCCCCATTCTGCTTTGTTTCTGCTTCCAGTGACAGTGGTGTTGTTTGCAGCTTTGAGGCGGCAGCGGAAAAAAGAACCTTTGATCATCTCCAAAGAGGACATCAGAGACAACATTGTCAGTTATAATGACGAAGGTGGTGGCGAGGAGGACACCCAGGCCTTCGATATTGGCACCCTGAGGAACCCCGAAGCCATAGAGGACAGCAAATTACGCAGGGACATCGTGCCCGAGGCCCTTTTTCTACCCCGACGGACTCCCGCAACTCGCGACAACACTGACGTCCGGGATTTCATTAACCAAAGGTTAAAGGAGAATGACACGGACCCCACCGCCCCGCCCTACGACTCCTTGGCCACCTACGCCTACGAGGGCACCGGCTCGGTGGCCGATTCGCTGAGCTCGCTGGAGTCGGTGACCACGGATGGCGACCAAGACTACGACTACCTTAGTGACTGGGGCCCCCGGTTCAAAAAGCTCGCAGACATGTACGGAGGCGTGGACAGTGACAAAGACTCCTAATGCCTTGCCTTTTGCCTTTTTCCTTTTCCAGTACGACACCGAAAATAGGTGAAGTGGCTCTTTCTTTCTACTTTATCCACCGCTCCGTGAAGGGTTCTCTGTTCTACCCGTTCCAAACGTCAATGGCTGCAGCCGGTGTGGATCCAATGTTAGAGACTTTTTTCTAGTACACTTTTATGAGCTTCCAAGAGGCAAATGTTTATTTTTTAGCGCATCCAGTTAACCATGTCAGCCAGCCCAACAGGCCCCGTGCTGGAGGAGAGCGCCAGGAGTGGTATTTTCCCTCGTTCTCTTAGGGCAAGTTCTGAATGGGCTCAGTTGCCCTGGCCTGGTCTCCCTGCTACACTCCATTGACTCAGGTCAGCTGGTCGCTCTGGCTGTACATTTCACATGCTAATGGGATGAGGGAGGGACTGTGCTTTAATGATAAAAAATATATATAGTTTTAGTAAGAGAAGTGAGGGAGGAACAACTGTGAAGTTGGTCCTGGTATATCAGCTCACAAGGAGATAATGAACTATATAGATGGGTGTGTATTATGGGTGTGTCGCAAAGAATTTAAAATGGCATTTGCCCATCCTTTTTGTTCTTCAAGAACTTTATCCGGCACCAATGACTATTCAAATCATCAAATCCACCAACGTTTTAAGAATCTTGTTCCTCTTTTGGACTAGAAGCAAATTAAATGGTAACGTTGGAAAACAACAAACAAAATGTAATACCTCAATCCTTGCCACTAACTCATAATTTGTTATATATTAAACCTGTGAAAGTTTGCCCTTGTACCATACAAAGAGAAAGGGAAAATAGCTAATGATGTTGACAAAGGAAATATTTAGCCTATTTTAAAGTTCGGGCCACCAAATGTACCACAGATCACTTAAAATTATTTCAACCATCAGTAAGCTAATTACAAATAAGTCTCATTGTTTAAAATTCCTGAAGGAACTTTTCTGAGACAAATTTTAACTCCTTGTCTGTAGTTGTTGTCAGTATTATTCTAATATACTTGAAAGTAGCAGCGTGAAGTACAATAACTCATACTCTTCAGAGACTTTGTACACAATTAAGTTGCATTAGTAAAGACAGATTAAATAAAACTCAAATCCCGCCCTCAGAGTTTAATGGGGAAATGACAGCCAGCCACACTTGAACCTGAAACCCTGTCCTTCACATCTGGAAACATCTATATATTTATATGACATGATAGATATAGATATATTGTTGAGATCATAGTGAAAAACTACATAGTACATGTTTGGAAGACGCTTATGAAGGGAGAAATGTGATTCCCTTCAATAAGAGTGTTTAAGATTGTATTAAAATGATAGTTGACTTTCAAAAGCATTAATAGTTTTTCATTGTTTTTAACTCTGTTGCTATGGCAACCTTGCCATCTTTGTCTTTGAACTAATGATAAAGTGATGGTCTCAAACTACAACGGAAAAGTAATGTACAAGCCATCCAATCTATTATTTCTCTAATTATGCAATTAGCATCATAGTTATTTTCCAGAGGACCCAACTGAACAGAACTAATCCTTTTGGTAGGTTCAAATCATTTATTTCATATGGCTGTTCTAATGATTTGTATCATTAGAATCTTACATTGTGCAGTCATCAGAAATTTCCAAAGTACTGTAATGAAAACATCATTGTTTTGAAAACTTAAAAAAAAAAAAGCAAACCCAGGCTCTGTGTATATACATATACATATATATATATAAATATATATTATGTACTTAAGAATATTCTGACTTCAATTATTAGTCTTAGGGATTTATTTTCAATTAATGTTAATTTTCTACAGATAATGTTATTTCCATTTGGGGCTACTGTCATATTAGTACATACTTTCTATTTGGAAACATACAGTTGTTAAGTTTTAAATAGGTGTATTACCCAGGAAGTAAAGATGGCACCTTTAAAATAAGAGAAATGTAGTCTTTTGGGTTACCCAATTAGAGTGAAAAAGTTTTATATCCATATTCTTCCTTGTGTTTCCAAATGGTTTCCTATTTTGTAATGGACTTCCCTGTGTACTAACAAGTATTTCATGTTTTCAGGGTTTTCTTTTGTTAGTTCTTCATACACACACACACACAGGAATGCAAACAAAATACTACAGGAGGGTTTCACTTATAATGAATATCATAGTCACAGTTAAATGTTGAAAACAAGATAGCTTAGTAAAGTTAATTAGTAAGAACTAGTTATTTATAGCAATAGAACACCACCTTAATCACATGACTTACTGTAAAATCAAAGAGCTCTCTGTCCTTATGTTTCACATCATGTAATAAATTATATCAAGAAAGATAGTCCTGTAAAAAGAAAGATATCATGAGAAGTCTTCCTTTTGAACTTTTGGGTTAATTGGAATGTCTGAGGGTCGACACTAGCAACTTCCAATGTTTAAGGGTAAGGTTTATTCTCTCCTCATAAGTGAAAGTAAGTAGTTCTGTAGTGGAACATTTGAGATATAATTGGCAGGGTATATTATCCCACCTTGAAGGTGGTACAGTGAGCCAAGAACAAGTTAATATGACTAAATATTGAAATTACTGCTTAATCTCTTACCACAAAACCTGATGATAAAGTGAATCTCTAAGAAATTGGATAATTTAAGACTAGAGCTGAATATTTAGTACTAGGGTCCTGTAAGTATTTTACTATAATTAATACTCCCTGATGTCATGGAAATAATGAGAGCCATACTTCCATGATTCCATGTGGGTCTCACTTCCTTCCCACCAAGATATCGCACCAAGGACCCCAGTCAACGTGAATGATTACTGTAGAAAAAAACTAGTTTTCAGCTCAGTTTTCACAAAGTCTCTGTCATGATATTAGATGTTAGTGACAAGAAGGATGGAAGGAAAATGGGAAGAGGTAAAATTTAATATTTGCTTTAGTCACTATGAAACTAAAAGTCCTTAATTATAACCAGATCACTTTTGTGGATTGCTTCAAGGACTTTGAGGCCCTTCTGAAATTTTTTCCCCCTCCATTCAAAGGGGAGAGTTTCTTCAAACCACCAAGATGTTCCCTAAATAAGCTGGGATTTTTAAAATGTTAAACTATCGTACATAAGTTTACAACCCCTTCACTTCATAGCCACTTTCTGCTAAAAGGCATAAACATTTGTCCCCAAATAAAAAATGAAATCAAATGGGAGAGAAGAATAGATGGTTCCATGGAACCATAAGACAGGGGCTCTGGGCACAGTAAATAAATGTTTTTTACAGAGCTTTCTTAGCTTTACAGTTTAGTTGTGTGAAGGGAGTTTCAGATACAAATTGACTCCATTTTCAAATAAAACAAAACCTGGCAATTCAATTTTAACTCATTAAAAAAAAATTCTGGCTTAGTGTTCATTTTGAGCTCCAAAAAAGTTGTACAAAAATTTCTTAAGAATCTCTATCTTAGAAGCATCCAAAATTTACAAATCCAAATTAACTTTAGAAAGTTTCCATTACTTTCACTTCTAAGTGCATAAATATTAGATACCCTAATTTGCTGAGCAATACCTTCCATCAAATGCTTTGCCTTGAAATGGGTATTTCATTGGAGATAAATGTATAAACTATGAATTAAGAATTCCTCAATGCTACATACTTGAGGACCATAAAAGTATGCAGCTGAAAAGGAAGAAAAGAGTTGGTTCTTGGCCCAAACTAAGTACTTAAATCAGACACACATAAATTCATTTTCCCCAGGAACCAAACCACCAAATCGATTATCTTACCCTAGTCACTAGTTTTAAAGCAATGCAATTACTTGGGAAGAACACTCTAGAAAGTCATGATCCCCCCACTATTTTGAAAGGTATCCTCTAAAAAGGATCGTTTTAGTGTAATTTCATTTTTTATGATTTCGTCTAGATGAAATCTTTTTTGAATTGTGACAGGGGATTAAATAGTCAAGCATTTATGTTTAACACTAAAACCCAGCCCCTCTATCAGACTGTAAGAGTGGAAAGAAGACTTAGTGTATGGATCTTCAGGAAGACGAACTATTTTCCAAAGTCCGACAAGCAACTTTCTTTTCCAGAGAATACAGAATTACAGTATGGCCTCCTTAAAAGTTCAGTGACTATTATGTTTGCAGCATTTTTAATCTCCCTTTGGCATCTTTATGGAGTAGTTTTCTAAAGGGGCAATTTTCTACTAAAAAACATCAGACCCTGATCATATTCAGTGTGCAGAGGAATACCCTCTTAGAAAGGAAATACACTGACTCACACACTTGTTAAAAGTTAATAAAGAGATAGCTCATTTTTAAAGCCAGAAGTTTATGGTCTCTGCATCATCAATTTAATTTAAGCATTGCTGAGACAATCTTTAATCTACTCCCCATTTTGTAATACCTTATTTATGATGCATTTTCATTTTTTAATTTGGGGGGAATGTTAGCCCAACAGAGCCAGCAGATGAAAGTGCCAAAAGGAGGTCAAATGGAAACAAAGCCTATTACCCACTGTATATCAGACAGGACCAAGGCACTTAGCCTGAGAGCCACTGGGTTATTAGATTAATTTCAAAAGAGCTTTTACAAGTTGCTTAATTCCAGGTTTTTTTTTTAAACCCATGGACCACAAATTCAAATTTCTCTTCAAATGGGGTTAATTTGACAAATGAGGCATGGATCCAGTGTTGTGGAAAAAGCATTCCGCTATAATGAGATCTTGGTCTTTCTTGCGAGACTATGTTATTTATGTAAATATGTCTAGAGGTACCTTCTATAAGCTTTTAGTTTTCTATGATCTATTAGTTTAGTGTTTATTAAGGAATCAAATGTATAGAATTGCTAAGGCATTCAGGGAGAATGCTGTGTAGCAAACCAACCGATCTGCTCAGAAGAAACGTAGGAACGCTTCAAAACCACCGTATTGTTTTGTTTGTGATTCTCTTCATTGCTTTGAAAGTAAACTGCCTAAGAATAGGCCTTATAATAAATGCTACGTGCGTCTTCAGTAGTACCAAGCTAAGACAATTTGGCATTCTCCTACTGTGATTTGTGATTTTAAACCCAGAAAATAAAAGCTTTTTGGTATTGATTGTTTTTAATTAAAAATACTCCCAAGTATAAATTGAAGCTGATGCCACCCTTGAAGATTTGCTGGCTGTAATGCTCAGTCATATGGTTTTTCTCAGTTATCGCCTGTTATCTCTGGCAATGAGAACATCTGATAGAAACAACCACTGCTCAGCTTTCATCAATATTTCTAGTTGGGGAGATTTTCATAACTTCACAATTTACATGAGACAGTTTCCTGTATTCGAAGGAGAGGTAAGGATT